GACAGAAAGCGAGAAATCACCCCCAGGGGGGATGGCCATGCTGCAATCCCTTCTCCTCTCGGGATCTTGGGCAGCACGCACACGCGCCCGGCGTGAGTTTAAGCCACCAGGTCTGGGAGGCGAACCGCGGTCAACTACTTGGGATTCCAGCGACATAGCCATTATGCTAACTGCTGGTCCCAAGTTTTTTTTGTTTGTTTGTTTTTAATAATGATTTATTTAACTTTATTTATTCGTTCATTTATTTTTAATTTGACCAGAGAGCGAGCGAGAAAGCCACCAGGTGCGGGCCATGTGGGAGTGTCCAGCACCTTAACCACCACAGCACCTGCTGGCCCCTGACTTTAAAGTTCTGATTTGTCTGTTCTTACCGGTTCTCTGCTCTCGACTGCCTTTGCAGACTCGGAGTCACACAGGTGGGGATTTGAGCACGGCCACCAGACACGCTCTACCTCTTGTTGTTCCCTCTACTGGAATGTTCTTTCTTCCAGAGAGCCACATGCCTCACTGCTCCACCTCCGCCAAGGCTTGACTGGAAAGTCACCTTCCCTGGAGGCCTTTCCTGGTCACCTTCCACCTCCCCAAACATCCTATCCTTACCCTACTTAATTTTTCTCCACAGCACCCAGTAGAACACACTGCTCATTTAGCCCCACAACACAGGCTACGAGGGGAGTGGGAGCAGAGTGTGTTTTGTTTGCTGCAGTACCTCCAGTCCTTAGAACAGTGCCCTGCACATAGCGGCAGGTAAAAAATGTTCTGGATAAATCCATGAGCCTGCCCTCGAAGGAGAAGGCTAGCCTTGGTGCCCGAGTTGGCCAGAAGCTAGGATGACCATTAGGACTTGACCACTTCTGGGGCACTTGCGATGTGCCTGACTCCCGTCCAGGGGCTTCACGAGCATTGCTCCATTTGATGATAGCCTCCTAACGGCCACCCAGAGTAAATATTTACGTGATCCCAATTTTACACAAGAAGGAACTGAGGCTCAGAGAGGGATGGATCCTGCTCAAGGTCACACAGCTTTTCAGCAGCAGAGTCACGATTCAAACCCAGGCCCTGCTGACGCCGCAACGTTGTATCTTTCTCTCTGCTGCCCCGTCCTGCTGGAGCCAGCCCTGAAGGGGCCTATGGCCAGCCAGCTGGTTACATAAATCACCACACAAGGTCTCACGTGCTAAGTGCTAAATGTGTCATGTCTGACTCCACCCTTTCCCTCGCTCTCACATCCAGCAGTCACCACAAACCGACACTGCAGCTGAGCCTTAGAATGGCTCTGGAAGCCTCCTTTGAGCCTGCCTCTGGCGCCCTGACTAGCTGACGTCCTTGTTGACACCGACATGGTTCAAGGCCCTGGCCTCCCAGCTATTCCCCCCCGCCCCCGCCCACCTCAGATTTACCTTCTCCCATCCAGCCTTCCCCCCACCGAGTCAACTCAGGTGCTGTCACTCCCAGGCTCGAAAACCTTCCCTGACCCCCACCGACTCCAGAATGAACTTCTGATTCTTCCACCTGGGGCTATACTCTAGCGCTCCCGGCTAGCTCCAATCTTCCTCTTCGGCCCTGCCTTGCGTCACTGACTTTAAACACCCAGTGTGCCCTCCGCCGGGGCTGCCTCTGCGAGGGACACCTGTGCTTCTCAAACCCCTCCGAATGTGAAGAGCTAACCTGTGCCACCTCCTTGACCTTCCCTGACCCGTGGACAAGGACGATCTCTCCTTCCTCTGACTCATCCCCACTCTGTGCCCCACGGCCAGCACCCACGGAGAGCGCAGCGGGGATTTCGGGTCTCATGCTCTAGGCTGGGACGCCCTGAAAGCACTCAGCATACCGTCTTCCGAAATGGATTGGCGCAGGTGCTAGGTCCTACAGAAACTGGGGAGACCGTGGGGGTGATGTGCAGAGATCCACTAAATGCTCCAGGAGGCAGCCAGCCGCGCACGGCAGTGAAAAACGCAGGATCTGGAACCAGACTGTCTAGGTTCGAATCCGGCTTTGCCTCTTACTTAGCTAAGTGACTGGGCAAATGACTTAACCTCCCTGGACATCTGATGTCTCCCCTGAAAAGCGGAGGTCATTGGAGCACCCACCTCTAGGGTGATCATAAAAACCCTGAGAATGGTGCCTTGGTATAGTCAGCGCTGCTCAGGAGTTTAGGGCTATCGTCATTGGCGAAGCCCCAAGAAGGGGATTCTCGGTGCTGGCAGGGCAGCAGGCCGAGCTCCCAAACTGCAGCTGCTTTCCAGGTCCTTTTTCCACGAGCTGTCGGAGCACAGGTAGGGCCGGGCATCAGCCCTATTTTACAGATGAAGAACTGAGGTTCACTCAGGGGACGTGGCAGTGAGGAAGTGGCAGATCCTCCAGAACGCCTCAGTTCTAGTCTGGGGTTCCTTCCCCTTCTCGGGGCCTTCGCAGTGCACCTGTTGTGCTGGTCTCACACAGCAGCTGGCCCCCTCCCCACCCCTGACGCTGGAGGGTCCCGCCATAGTGCCCTCCCATCCTATGTATGTGGTTCCTCTTAGGCAGGCCGGGTGCAGTGCACCATGGGGTGTGCGTGCTTGGAGTGCACACGCACACACACACACACACACACACACACCCCGCTACAGAACGGCCCGGGCCCCAAAGGTGAGGAAAACCTGTTCTGAGGAATCTGCCTAGCGAGCAAATTCCGTTCTGAGGCCCTTCCACAGTCGCAGGAGTGGGGCCCAGTGTGCGTCAGAGACACCCGCAAGGGGGGCAGAGAGGGAGAGGGCGAAGCGGGAGGAGGAGACTGAAAACTTCACGTTTCTTTTTTCCATTTCAGTGACGAGAGTCACACCCGGCCTTTACATAAACATGGCCCAGGAGCCACTCTGTCTAAGCTCATTTCCCTTGTGGCCGCCTGGCCTCTTCCCCTTGGTGACCCTGACAGGCCCGTGAGGGGCAAGCACACAGAACCTGCACAGGACTCACCAGGCCACCCGACAGCACCCATGCCTCCAGAGGCTCCCCTCGCTCTGCCCCATATTTATGTCCTCGCCTTCTTCAAAACACGTCCCCACAGCAGCTCCTCACGGACACTTGAGCACGCAGAAGACAGGCACGCACGCAGCCTGCAGCTGGCCTCTGGGGCCTGAGGCTCACACCGCCCTTGTCACGCCATCTCCCTCCCCACAAGTGTTTTCTGACCAGCTCGCCTCTCAGCCCCACAGCCCAGACAGGCTCCCACAACCAACGTCACAAAAGAATCCCGTGGAGAATGTTGCAAACACACAACCTTCCCCTCTGCTCGGCTGCCCGCAATCCCATCAACACGGCTTGTACATCCGATCCAGAGCCCCTCACATGGGCGCCGGCAGACCCTCAGCACCAGAGACATACCCTGGGGTTTCTGACTCCCCTGGGGATGAGTGGGATCTGAGTTCTAGACCTGCAGCCCCCATGCAAGGCGCTCATCACAGACACAGAGATCCATCCATTGGCCAGTCCTCACCATGACTGGACCACACCTCAGCAGGGCGACCAACTTGGGACCCAGATATGATACCTTCTGACTCCAAGGTTCACATCGCCCCTCCAAATGGGCTCACACCCCCTGTATATTAGTACCCGCGGCGCTTTGCAGAAACAACAGTTATAAACAGTTCTGCAAGACATACATGCAAAACACATGCTGGTGGAAAACATACATACATACGACCCCACACCGAACAAACTCCACACTCAGCGTATTGTGTCCTGCTTCGAATGCCCATCTGTCACCCAGAGCCACAGGGCCACATCTTGTAATTCTGCCCCACAACACTGGACACCCCTCCAGACTATCTATCTCCGTGACCCAGAGAGGGCCCTCCCGGGACCCCTGGCTGCCAGAGGAGCAAACAGTGGTGCCCAGGAGAGCTTTACCTTGCCCACAACACAGCACGAGACACGCAACCGCCAAGACTCACAGCCACAGCCCTGCCCCGACGGCGCGGCGTTCCGGGGCCCCTGCTCGCCCTGCGCACCCCGCACACCCCAACTCTGGGGCGCTCCGCGGCCCACCCCTCCCCCCCCTCTGCCTGGCTCCTACCCCATCGCCCT